AGCAGCTCCTGCTGGGGCAGCCTGGCACTAGAGTAACATTGTCATGCCCTTCTTTACAGTGCTGCCTGCTGGCAGAGGCTGGGACTAGGGGAGCAGGGACGTATCCTCTACATGCTGCTGAGCAGCAAACACAAAACACAGTTGGGGAAAGCTGCTCATTAGAAATCTTGGTGAGAAGCACTCCTGTAGCTCCGTTCCTGTTTAACGCTGAGCTGACATGTCACTGGTACACTGAGGCTGTAGATGCCCCACAGTCACCACAGGAGTGCGAGGCTGGTGGCACATGGGGAAAGGCTTGAGATGCATTGTAGGGGTTGGCCAAAAACTGAAACTGTCCTTTAACATGGGGTCGGTGCCATGCATTGGTCCCTGCCCAGCACCTGCAAGTGGAATGAGCCAGGAGGAAAAGCAATGGGGAGTGTGGAGGGGAAGGGAATGGAACTTGCTGAGGTTGAGCCAGGAAGGGCTACTCAGAGCAAAGGGTCTATCTGCACCGTGGTGCTGGCATTGGCTCAGTGTCTTTGGAGACTGGGAACCAGACCCCCAGCTGGTATAAATGCCATGCCTCTGTTCTGTGGAGCCATTCTGATTTACACCAGCTAAATCATCACCTTCTGTGTGCCTCCACCCTTTCTAGCCCTTCAGCAGGCCTGGATGATTTTAGCTAGCAGCTTACTAAATGCTCCCTTCCCACTGCCCCTCCTCTGCCTCTTCCACATGGTGTGTCTTCTGGGCTGTGTGCCTAGAGGCCCCTTTTCCCCCATTGTCTCTGCCACTCCATGCTGTTTTTCCCTCATTGCCTTCCTGCGCAAAGCCAGGGAGGAGGTTGCATCTGGCACCAAGAGAGCTGTCCCAGGCAGGCAGGAGAGGGAACAGGGCAGATGAACACTGGCTTTGCCTGCAACTCTGGGCTGACTGGTTTCTGTCTCCCAGCTTGGGACAGAGCTCCCTTGTGGGACAGTGTCCCTGGGAGCACCTTTTGCAGCCAGGACATAGGCCAGGCCTGAAGATACAAAATATGTGGTGCCAGCGTTCTGTAGAAATACAGGATCATATACGGAACTGAGGGCACTTCCACCTGGTTTCCACATGGAGGTGCCAATCAAAGTGGGCAGAGCGGAGTGTTGATGTGAGGGAGTCCAAGTAATGGATCCAAGAGCATCTGCTCTTCTGTGGCCTCATGTGGATTGTACTGTTTTCCTACCCTCCCTCCCTTCCAGATCCTCAATCAGGGAAAATGGCATAGGAGTCAACAGAGCTACATGGGTTTACCCCAGCTGAGGATCTGGCCCTCTCTGCAGTGTCAGTTGAGAACCTGGTGTTCTTTCCCATTGTACTTGTTGTGGCATGTGGTGCCCTCTAGTAACATACAAGCATCTGTGGGAACAGCACCACAGATTCCTGCTTTCCACACTCTCAGAGCTGTTGAATTCACACCAGTCCCTGTAGGAGTGCAGCAGTGTTTAGGCTGCTGTTGGCCAGTGGCATGTTTCACCAAATTGAGCACTGCATGGAAGGGTTTGGAATGACAGTGCTAAGCAGTAAATCTTTTATCTACCCCCAGACCAGGTAATACCTGGGCAGCATCCATAAGAGCTTCCCTCTCCACTGTGCCCACTCCCTGTTCTGCTGGATGTCGATATGGAAGTTGGCCCCCATGCCTGCCCCATCCTGAGCTTCTCTTATGACACAGCCAGTTCCGGTGGTGGCTTTGATGACATGGACGCACGCCTACATGTGAGATTCATTTTCCATGAGGCCTGTACACCAGTGATAGTTACTCCCGGTCACTTAAATGAGTACTGCAGCAGTGACCTAGATGCAAAAGGTTCCATAGCTCATTATCAGTCTCCTGAGCTGTCTGGTTCCCCTCTTCTTGTTACTCTCTTAAGCAGGAGGTGAGGGTGTGCTGGAGAAGGAAGGCACTCAACATACTGAGGACATCTGAAGCTGAAGGTCTTGCTGTTAGTTGTGTATCAGCCCACAGGGAGGGCTTCTCTTCTTCAGATACTTTCTCATCAGAGAGCAGTCAGGGTGTGTCTGTTCCTTCCCTCTGGCCCCTGCAAGCCCATTGCCAGCTAACACCCAGTACCCAGTTTAAGAGGTTGGAACTGCATGTAGAAGACGCCAGGACTCCTTCCCCCTGTGCTCTGGCATCTTCCTTGTGATCTTTGTGCTCTTCTCTGCAGGTGCGTGCGGATCACAGATACTGGCCTCAGTTACTTGTCCACCATGTCATCTCTGAGGAGCCTATACCTCCGTTGGTGCTGCCAGGTAAGTGAACAGCAAAGGACAGAGCCAACTAGGGAAACCTCTCTGAGAAGGGAGATGGAATGAGGTTCTTCTGTAAATCTCTCCCTCTTCCCTTTTCTCTATATGGGGGCTGGGTTGGCTACTGAGTTTTGTGATCCATGTAAGGCATAAATAATGTGATTGTGCTGCTAGTTGTACAACAAGCCTGGGGCTGAACCTGGCTATTGCTGGGGTGAATACAACTCCTCCAGAACATCTCTGTGGAAAGCCTGTAAAATGCATGGCCTTTGATGCAAAGCACAACCAGTTCCTGTGGCTCTGGACACATTCAGGTAGCATGTAATGATGTAAGAAACCTGAGTATGTGACAGGAAGAGGTTCTGGTATGTATAAGCTAGAGCAAGATGTGGGAGTCAGAAGATGGGGGTGGAAGGGTCTCTTCTCCACTCTCTCAGACTTGTGGTGTCTCAGATGAAGTCACATGCTCTCTGTCTCAAAGCAGAGTGGTGGGGCTGAATTGTGTATGAAACTCTGAGGAACATCGGATTGGAAGGGGCTCCAGGGCCCTCAAGGGCCCTATATTTGCAAGTAGCTGTTTACCAAAAGACTCTTTTACCAAAAGATCATTTATTGCAAATATTCACGCACTACACCTTCAAGCCCACAACCAGAAACTCCCCAGCGATATGCCACAGGGGAGACATGAGCACTGCCCTGCCTTGCAAGGGAAGAGAAGTAATCAGGTAGCTGCTAAGTGCTTTTTTCAGTGAATCTTTCCAAATGTAGCTCATTCTTAGGGGTCTACTTAATTTGCAGTTTTGTGGTTTTCGTAGAAATGACAAAAAACAGCATTGTCCACAGTTGCCAGGAAATATTGCATTGGCTGTGATTTCCTGCGACATTAACCTACTCCCCAGCATATTTTTCATATAATACGCTGTTTTAAAATGTCCCAATGCTTACCACAATACAAAGACAATGTGATAATCACTGCAGCCATAGATCACATGATTGAGAGCTACTGTCTGCTAGTGATGTGGATTAAGTGAAGGTGCCAGTCAGTGAAGTGAAAATGTTTCAGTGCCATTTTTAAAAACATTAATGCAATGCCAATGCCCCTCTACCAGTCAGCAGTGAGGTATGGGGCCACCAGGAAATTGGCTCTTCATGCCACAGCCAAGCTGTGAAAATTGCTTTGTCTCACCATGAGTTAAGTAGATCCCTGCTCATTCTGTATTAATGATCTGGGGCCTTGCCTCTTCCGCTGTTTTAGGTACAAGACTTTGGCCTGAAGCATCTCCTGGGCATGAGAAGTTTACGCCTCTTATCTCTTGCTGGTGAGATCCAAATACTGATCTGTCCATGACCTGATAGACCTGGTTCTAGAGAGGTGGAAGCCCCAGCAGGGGGATGGGGCTGAGACTATGTGGGCAAGCCCAGGGACATCCCAACCTTGTAGCAGTGTCCCATGAGGATGCCGCTGGCTCATGACACAGTGTAGATACAAGACATGAGGGTGTTTTTCTAACTTAGAATGGTTTGGGGAAGGGTAAAAGTGGCTGGTGCAATGGAGTTTTGCACAGAGGCCTCTGTTGAGTATGTGCTGTCTTCTTCTGCTCCCTGCTTTTTCAGCTGAGTAAACAGGGCAGAGAAGAAGAAGCCAAGCCAAACAATCAGGAGATACCTTCCCCCTGGTAGTCTGTGCTGTCAGCTGCATCACTTTCTCACACTCCACTCACTTTTCCTGGGGTCATGTTTTATGCTTCTCTGGGCACTGAAGAGCATCTACCAGGCTGGGGAACAGTGTTTCTTGTCCTCTGCAGACCCAGAGAGCCTGAGTGCCAGAGCTGCTGAGAAATCAGCGAGAGCTGTAGGCCTGAAATCAGGCTCAGAAGGACAAATCCCACTGCCGGATGTGTGGCTTCCAGTCCCTCCCACCACCCTGGGGGGTGCCTGGTTCCTGCAGTTCAGTAGCAACTCCACACACACATTCAAAGGCAGAAGAGTGCTTCACTTTTTTCCTTCTCCTTGTAGACTTCCAGGCATATTTACCAACCACTTCTTAGAGTACCTGGGAGTCCCATTTCCGTTGACAGCCCAAGTCAAGCCAGCGCCCAATTCAAGTCACCTCCAAGCATTTCTGGGTTGACTGAAAAAGTTAGGTCAAAGTGGTTGTGTGTGGATGTGACTTAGAGGCATGTTCCCTGTTTCACCACTTGACCGCACCTTCTATACATCAGTTCCTAGGGAAAGCCTGATGGAGAAGTGTGGATCCTGATTCTCTTTACACTTCCACCCCTGGAAATCAGGAGTCATTCTGCTGCCTCTAGTGAATGGCTGCAAGTCAGGTGGCCCAGGGATGCTGAGGAACCTCAGGGTGTGATTACACTGCATCCCCAGTGCCTGCACTAACCCTAGGAGCATGATGTTGAAGCATCTCTTGCAGCTGGGGGCATCTCTTGCAGCCCTCAAACATGCTGAAAACACAGGTCTCAAGAACAGCCCCTGGAGTGGCTTTACTGCCTCTTTTTTGGGTGGGGCATGTGTAGATGGGGGGATGGGCAGGGTCTGCCTCCCCAAGAGTGTGGGTGTAGGTAGACATGCCCTGAGAGGTCAGAAGTGCATGCAGAGTGGTTCTGGCGCAGAGGTGCAGCTTATCCACACTTGAACATGGTCACACCAGAAGCAATGTGGACATTCTTTTGGTGTATACCTCATCCAGAAGAATCCTGCCATCCATTCCCTTTCAGTGGACTGATAATTTCACTGGCTGTACTGTGCTATGGATGTCTCTCTTGGCCTGTCCCAGATTCAGTTGTGGGAAAGATGGTCATTTAAAAGCTCAGAATGAGGCCTGCCATAGCTAATAGTGCCGGGGAGCTGGGAACTACCTCTGATCCATTTCTTCAACATAAAAATAATTGTCTGTCTCTTGCTTCCATGAGTCAGCACTCCTGGTATAAATCATTTACAACCACCATTGTGAGATCACTTCAATCAGGTGTGGGATGATGGTAAATTTGGGTCTAAAATAGGAGCTGTCCTTTGTCAAGTGGACACTTGAGAGGAACAGTTACAGAGATATCATGTGCTCAGCCGGGTTATTCATACTCTGTGACTCATCTGACTGCCCCCTCTGCTGGGTTTCTATAAGGAGAAAAGCGTCTGTCCCTCCCAAGTGTTCACATCATCCTAGCCTTGGTGGCTGAAGCAGTAAACAGCACAAAACATTTCCTGTTAATCACCTCAGTTCTTATAATTTCCATGTTATCATCCATCAGGGACAAATGGTGTGAGAGTCATTTACTGGAGCAAGTACAGCACGACTACACTAATATCACTAGAGTTCCTTCAGCCCAAGGGAGCTCAGAGCCAGGCCCTGTCTCATGCAGTAGATGGAGGCAGATAAATGAGGAGGTCCAAAAAGCAGAGTGGTCCAGCTGTCTGCCAGTGGGGTAACATGGTACAGCTGTTATGCAGCTGTAACATGCATGGCAGCTGTAACCCAGCACCATGACCCCAGGCAGCCTCCACAGGGCTCTATGCTGTGATGGAGCCATAGGCAGAACTGAGATGTGTCATGATCCAAGAATGTCACCACCAAAGCCAAGGGATGGTTGAGTTCTGGGAGTCCAGCCCTACCCCACAGGGTCTACATGGTTTCCTTTTGTTCACTGGGTGTTTCCACCTTCTGGTTTTAGGTTGCCCACTCCTGACCACCACAGGGCTTTCCGGCCTTGTCCAGCTTCAAGACCTGGAGGAGTTGGAGCTGACCAACTGCCCTGGTGCCACCCCAGAGCTCTTCAAGTATTTCTCCCAGCACCTGCCGTGCTGCATGGTAATCGAATAAGCAGTCCCCAGGATTGGCCAACTGTTGGAGTCATCTCCAATCCCAATCCAGCACTGACCGACCAACCAGAGTCATCCGATTGTTTGTTTTTCTTTCTTTCTATTTTGAGAGATGCAAAAGATACTGGCGACTTAACTCCACCACCACGTGTAAAACAAACCAGAATTATTCACATCACCACACCCGGTGACAGTGCCTGGAGATTGAGATTTGCTCTCTCAGTGAAAGGAGGCTTCTGTCTGTTCATATGCCGCAGACTTCACAAGAGAACCCCTCTGCAAGGTTTGTAAATTTCCCACACCTCCATCATCTCTCATCGTCTTTGTAGTGGTCTGTCCTGAAAGATTTTAACTTAAAAAACAACTCACAAAACAAAACAAAACACAATAAAGCTAAACAAATCACACAGAAAGAGACAGAGAGAGAGAGAGAGAGCAATGCAAATTGATGAGTTGGCCCAGGACCATGTGATCTCACACCCTGTGTGCCGTTCCCCCTCAGTGCTGGATTTCACGTGGTTTCCGTCTGGATGTCTCTCATGATGGAGATTAGAAGTTCCACCTGCTCCACCCATGCTTCTGGGTGGGCTCAGAGGTGAGTCTGGGGTGGGGTCTAATTGAAGCCCTTCCTCTGGGTATTGCATGGTCGAGCCCGGAGCTGAAATGTCCGGTGTTGCTGGGAGCTGAACCAGAAGGTGAAGAAGGGAAGAGGAGGATCCTAAGGGACAAAGAGACTTGAAGGAGAAGGGCCAGAATAACTGATGCCATGGGTTCTTGTTTTGTCTCTTCATTCCTCAGACGGGATGCTGCAGGTCTCCCGTGCTGGAGGCGTTTAAAAAATAAACCGACTAATGCTGTGAAAGAGAAGCACAGGGCCCGATCCTGAGACTTTTGGCAGGCTGGGTTCCTTTTGCTCCAGGAAGTGAAGCTGGTACGTTGACCGTGATCGTCTTGTCTTCGTCGGAAGCACAGATCCATGGGCAAATTTCCTGAGAAACAAACAAATTGACCCAGCTGAGTTGTCACTCCCCCCACACACCCCTGTTCCCCAAACACCCAACAACCCTAAGGTCATGTGGCCTGGGGTGGACGGTCGCCTACTGCTCTTTTCATTTTGTTAATAAGATGTTCTTCTCAGAACAGCCTGCAGCCTTCGCATGCTAGCTTGCTTCCGTCTTGTGGTAAGGTAGGTCCTGGAACGCGTGGGCACTGGGAGGGCCCGTGGGTGGCAGCTCCCTTCTCATTCCCTTGCCCAGCTCCAGTTGTCTCCTCCAGTGTGAAGCTGGTGTGGCTTTGCATTCCATCCATGTCCATGCGTTGGAGTCCTGGTTTCACTGTGAGTTATATTCTCAGACAAGGGAACCTGAGACAGCTCCTTTCACTCCCACCCCTGCCTGGAGCCTCCTTCAGCTGTCTTCCTTCTCTCCCTGCAGCTTGGGAAGAGGAGAGAAAGCTTTTGGCTCCTGCTTTCTTTGCAGTGTGCCATAAGCCCCCCTGTGTTATTCCCCAAAGGTCCAGCTTGAGGGCAGCTCAGTTGCAGACAGAGTCAAAGCCAGAAACATGTGAACCAGGCAGACCTGGGACCCTGCCTTCCCCTTCCCTGCATTGCCGCTCCCACCAGCTGAGCAGGCTTTGCTACACTGTTTTTAGTCAGGCCCCATCTTGACCCACTGTTGTGCCCTGGCTCTGGGGGGCCCTTCCCATCTCACTGTTGCCTCCCCCATTCTCATCTATGCCACCCGCAGGGTCCAGTTCTCCCACTGCATCTGGAGTGCTTGGAGGCTCTTTCCTGAGTTACATTCAGATCCCAGGGGTATGTGGGAGGAGGTCCCAGCTGAACCATGCTGTCCACCCAAGCAAAGTCTCAGCAGCTGAAATGTCTTTACATCTGGTAATGAAACCTTTTACTTTGTTGTAGGTTATTTGCAGGGAAAGTGGGGGAGAGGAAAGTAGGGGCCAGGGAGAGCCATTGCCTCTGTACTAAGGTCAGGTCATGGTGAGCCAGGCTCTATTTCCGTCACTGCTCATTCTAGAGCCTGTACATCTCTGCTCAATTCACTACTTTGGGTGAGTCTGGAGGAAGCCTTCTCCAGACTCCAACCTTTTACTTTGTTGTAGGTTATTTGCAGGGAAAGTGGGGGAGAGGAAAGTAGGGGCCAGGGAGAGCCATTGCCTCTGTACTAAGGTCAGGTCATGGTGAGCCAGGCTCTATTTCCGTCACTGCTCATTCTAGAGCCTGTACATCTCTGCTCAATTCACTACTTTGGGTGAGTCTGGAGGAAGCCCTCTCCAGACTCACCTCCAGCCCCATGTGGAGCGACTGGCCCCAGGATGCACACACATACATGTATCCCCATCTCCTGCACCCACATGCAAACAGACTGAGCTTAATTGTTCCGAGGGATGTCTCTGCTACCTCCGTACCATGCGAGGTGCCTGCCCTATCACTTGGTGGTATCTTCTCTCCTCCGACCAGAATGGAAGTGGACTGTGGAGACTCCGCCAGCTGGGTAGAGCTTCGGAGATGGAGAGAAGAGCCTGTGGTTCTCCAGGGATAGGGGGTGAGCATGCAGAGACACTCCTGTGATTCTGTAGGGAGTAGACTCTCAGTCCAGAGGTACCTCAGCAGTCGCCAGCCCTGCTGCAATTGAAAGCCAAAACACATTCAGCTCCCATATTATGGAAAATGGGAACATGCTGCACAGAAGCAGCAGCCTCAGGACACAAAGCCACTGTAGCTCTTCCAGCATCTGAAGCCATCTCCCTGATACCAGCAGAAAGAGACCAGGCGGGGACCTCTGTATGTCTCTTTTATAAGTCCTCCCAGCATCATCAGCACCTTCTACACTGCCTGCATCATCTCTGACCTCAGTCAGGGACCTCCCCATCCTCAGGGCAGGCATCACTCTGGGAAGGACACTGGCCATAGTAGTTATCTGAAGGTTCCCTTGATGAGGCATTGTCAGGACTGCATAGGAAACTCAAGCAAATAATACAGGCTCAGTGTCTCAACTGGTGTAAACCAGCAGAGCACTACTGCAATCAGACTGGGTCAGTTTACACCAACTGAAGTTCTGGCCCAAAGGTCATCTTACTGCAGAACCCCTAACAGTGTCTTTCTTGCAGGATACCCTAATGCATAGCTGCAGCGCTGAATGGTAGAACTTAAGACAGCTGAACATCTCTCCATACATTGATGTAGATGGTCTCCTTGCCATTTAGTGGAAGGAGACTGTCAGGTAAAGAATATCATATCAATGGCCAGCACCAGGCCTGTAGATGACAGGCTGTTACAAAGCCAGTGGTCAGTGTATGCATGTGCTCCCCAATAGATCTTACTAGCAGGAGATCTTCCTGAATCCTGAGTGTGGATGCAGCCTTCAAACACTCCTATCTATCTTGCTTCTTCTCTGATGGTAACCACCCTCTGCTAGCCCCAAGGCTCCCTCTTCATAGACATCCCAGCCCATCACTACCAGACCCATATCCTTCATAAGGGTTATTCCATGGTAGCCAGTCTGGTGGCCTTGTGGTATGGGCATGATGAATGCGTAGCTTTGACACTTGGTTGGCATGACTATGGAGACTGTGGCAGGCAGTGAACCCAGCCTGGGAAGAGGAGGAATGCCTTGAATTGCTGGGAAGTAGTCTGGCCAGCTGTTCTCTAAAGTGTTTATTTTGCACCATAAATGGACATGATGCTTGGCAAACCAGACCAGTTCCTTCCCTAAGGACCTTGCAGTAAAGGCAGGTAAGGGATAGCATTGTTTAATAGTGGCCAGAAAGGCATAAATGGGTAAAAGCTGATTAGCTGAATCCAGGTGGTCAAGTAGAAAGGGTGTTATGGAGACCTCATTGCCAGCTGGGACTGATTCCTCTGGATCTAGCAAGGTCTCTGGTTCTGGGCTAGTGGCACAATTTTCAGATCAGTTGGATTTATTAGGTGGTGGGCTGCACAGACTGAGTCAGCTGGCAAATCCATGACTGAAAAAGTGACCCTTGAGAAATGATTAGGAAGAGCTAAAGTAACACACACTGGGTGTGGAGGTGGTGGTGATGATGATGGGAGCTTTCCACAAAGCTGGAAGAGGTACAACTGGTCCTGAGCAGAGCTGGGCAAGTGGTGCAAAACCCTTTCTCCATGGATAGTCATGCAGGTTGGTTTTGGCAGCATTGGTGTCTTTCTCACATTGGCGCCCTGCATGCATGTATGCTTGGGCATCTGTAGCATGGAAGTGCACTGAAAGCACATCTTCAGCTTATCCTTCCCAATGCTCACAGAAAATGCACCTTTGAGTTGCTTTCTGCTAGCGTTAGCCCAAGAGGTCCACTAAGAGTCAGGCTCCTCCAGCCAGGGCAGAAACAAGTGGTCCTACATGGGTACAGATTTTGCAAACCAGATTCCATGGAGCAGTGACTAAATGTGTTGTTCCACAAGCAGAAAAATTCATCCCAACCCAATTAGCACTAAGCTCATCCACTAAAGTGATCAGTCCTGAATGATCCACTCAGCTATGGCCTTGAGTAAGAGCCTAACTTCTCCATACAGTCCTTCCACCACTGAGGGGAGAGGAACCGCAGCTCCTCAGACAGCAGCTCCCCTGCTCATTGCTGACCTGGTGCCGTAGTTTCTCATGGTTATGTCTGGACACATACATGTTTCCTAATTTTTAATGAACAGGGATTAACTGATTTAACAACCATGGTTTTTTTTATTACCAACTTTTGTTGCCATAAAGATGTGTAAGCTTTAAGTGATTGACTTCTAGGAGGACATGTTGCAGCTTCCTGCTCTGATGGCCTCTCCTCCTCACAGCCCTGCTAATGCAGGATTCTAAGGTGGAGGGGGGGGGCGGGAATCTCTGATGGGAGAGTTATTACTTTGGTTAACCTGTAGCTTTGGTTACTAATTGCACTATAGTCTCCTTCAAGATCCTTACTGAACTCGCCAAAAAACACTGGTCAGGCAGCCAGAGCTTTTTCCTCATGACAAGTTCAGTCTTTCCAGTGGGGGTGTTGGAAAACCCTGGACATCCATGGGAAATCCATAGAGATGGACATATGCCAGCCCACCTACTGGTGTGTAACTCAGCTGGCTGTAGGTAGAGGCTAAGCAGGCAACCCCCATGGCACTACATCTGCTAGGCTGGTGCTGGAATCTCAGTGATCCCTCCCTGACAGGCTGTGCTCCCAAACTGCCCTTTTCCAGTAGAGGAGTTCCTACATGTTCCTGCACCTTCCATTTCTTAGAGGAAATCTGGAAGAACTGGTTCTTCTTCCATAGTAGACCTGAAGCCAGCAGTGCCCTGTACTGCCCAGCAGAAGGAAATGGTAGAGGTAGGCTGCACGGCTGGACTGGCTGGTGGGAAGAAGGGAGCAGTCAGTCATCACCGAGGGTGGTAGGGCATTGTTTTGCTTCAGTGCCAAGATTCCTAGAGCTGCTTCTGCACCCATGTGCAGACTTACATACTTATGTCCTGAGCCAGCTGAATCATCCACCTCCCAGATCTCTATGTCCATGCTCTCCCAGGCTGCTGTTCTTGCCAGCAGAGCCTGCAGTGGTTCAGCTGCTCATATGCTGGGGGCTGCAGTCAGGCTTCTTTGCTGGGAGGTAAATGCAGCTGCGCCTGGCCTCTGTCACTGGTCAAGCCAGGACCCCAGAGGTCAGCCCCCCAATCCTGTAATGGTGTCTAAGGGTGCTGGGGAGATGAAAAAACACCCTTGCCCCTTGGGAGAATTCCCACTCCTGAGTGTCCCTGCAGTTGTGATACAATTTTAGCCTCTCCTGCTCTGACACATTTACGGTGTGGGCCATCATATATAATCCACCCTCCTGGTTTTTCTCTCCTTGCTCTGGTCAGGCACTTCATTACAGCCCCAGCTTGTACATTTTGCACATCCAAGTTGCTATGACCTGAGATCCGTTAGCTTAAGCAGAGGCAAGAGCCAGAAAAGGAACAGGAAGGATTAGGTGTGTTTATGGAGCTAGTCCAGAGAGGAGCTGAGCCCCTGCAGCTCTTGTTGTCTGCATTGCGAATAGTTTTATTTCCAAGGGTTTTAGGCACTGGACACATGACAGTGCAGCACAAGGAAGCCAAATGCCCCTGCCACGCAGCTTATCACTGTTAGGTACTGTTGGGGTGCCTACAGGACCCAGCTGCCCCATGGTGCTAGGTGCTGTATATGCACAGAGTAAGAACATTCCCTCCCCCAGAGAGCTTGCAGTCTAACCAGACAAACAGTGGAAAAGCTGCAGCACAGAGACGTGTGGTCACTTGCCTAGGATGGGCAGGGCTCAGCCAGGCCATTGCACCATCCAGTGCAACGTTCTGCCTCTGACAGTGATTAGTGCCTGACTGCAAAGGAGGCATCTCCACGAATGCACTGTCCAAGTGCACACTGCTGCCCGTACAGCTGGGGGAGGGAAGATGCCTTCCCACCCCAGCAGGATGCCAGTTTGACACGCTGCCTTCCTCTTGGCTTTAGGGTGATTAAGGGTATTAGCCATTGCACTACCCCACTGCTATCCAAAGTAGCTTAATGTTAGCTCTCCTTTCACCTAATCTCAGTTTGGCAAGGTGGCCTTGTTGTGATGTGTCTTGGGGAGGGCTGGATTTACATCTGAGACTTATTAGCAGGGACACCTGGTTCTCAGCTGTTGACTTCAGTAGCAGTCAAGGTCACATCACAGCTACCTGCATGAAAATCTCCTTCCTTTTGGGTACCCACCTGCTTCTGCTTCCCTGCTGAGATGATCTCGTCCTCCATTTGTGCAAGAGCCCAAGTGCTTCTTCTCTGCTCCAGGTTGAGCTCTGTCCTTTTAGGGACATCATGAGCTCCTAGCCATGGTGAGTGCTGAGAGAATCCTCAAGAAGGCCCTGCTCTCTTGGCAATTTACTTTAGAAACTGGGCAGTGCAGGGTCCATGTGCTAATATCTGTCGCACTCTTAGAACCTCATTAGGTGGCAGACTCATCCCTCATGTTATGCTGAGTCTGATTTGGGCTTCTGATGCTGCAACCTGGTGAGAACATCTTTTTGGCCCATCTACACAGGCAATACCAGGCATGTTATAAGCT